AAGTACGATGATGTTGACGAACTCTAGCTGAATTACCACTGGTTTGAGGATCCGATTATGGTCCCAAACGTCAGCTTTTCGTTCTCTCACATTGATGGACCATCACTACCACATGAGAGCAATGCATAGAACTTAAAAGTGGCTGTTCAGCTGAATAAAGTTTCCTTTACAAGCACACGACCGGTTTCGTTGTGCATGTCGCTCATTAGGTATGCATACGCCTCCGAAAGCCTCAGTACAGTCGGGATTGGTGTCCAAGGTTGCGGCTGGTCACCTTCCTCTTGCACCGCGCTAAATGTTCCCATACGACCAAGCGTCTCAACTAGCCTCAGTTGAGGAAGCCCTCGCTGTCTTCCCGTGGCGGAGGTACTTTCCCACCTAAGTGAGAGGACGAAAAACCGATATCCGGAGCTATAACCGGTTTGGCGAAACCCTGGTTCACCTAGGGTAGTTGGCCAAAAACCCTGATTCTAAACCAACTAAGAGGAGGCGTACAAACCACACACCTTCCTGGTTGTGGCGGTTGTGGTTACCGGCTCGATTGAGCATCGAGGTATATTGGGCATCTTGGACGTTTGACTCCCTCTAAATGAACAGGACACCGGTCCCCGATGGATCGCGATTTTCACACCGCCCCGCTGCCTTGCTGGTCAGTCTTTGGTTTGCTAAAGGCTCCGATTGTTGATTCCCCTGGGAAATTCACTTGCCTTGGCCTGGGCAACCGATCGGTTTTCAGTACGCATGCAAATCATGGAACGTTTTTCTTTTTTATAAAGATCATTGTACCACGATTTGTTTAGCGCACAGTCAGACGTGATATATATATTCTTTCGTCTAGTTATTCATTGAATCACATCTACCCCACATTCACTGCATTGATTCACACTTTGACAGAACAACAGAACTTCCAAAAAAACAGTGTTTTCCCTTTGTCCTTACGAAATCAGAATCAACAGACGGAATTCACGGTGACTTACCACTCTTCCCCTCTTTTTACAGTACGACTGAACGGTGCGATTAATCTCTTTCAATTTTGTGTAACGAAAAATCGTTCGTTTGATGACTAGCGTGTGGGGTGAATCCCATTGTCACCTAAATTCTCACCAGGTTCCCGTTACTTAGTTTCTAACAATGTTTCTTGTCCACATCTTCATTTTCTCATTACACACTTGTGTTTTGAACAGCTTAAATGGTAAACTCCCTAGTCACGAGGACTGTTCTCTACTGGGAACCGGCTACTTAAACCCAGAGACTTGAAGTGGCGAACCACATGAGACCGATCAAGCTGCCTCTCACAGAAGTTAGGTGGTGGTAATGGAACTCAAACCTCAGACCCCAAGACCAAAGTCATCACTTACAGCTACTTACACTGCTTGACCACCACTCACCATTGTTCTTTGCTCTAACCACCTTATACCACGCCATCACAACGTGAACACACCTCGACGTGGTGTGATGGCTTGCGCGCCTCCATATAACCCTGCGAGTTATACAGGATGGCTGCTCACAACCGCAGTCCCAGTCATGCCTCAAAGGTCACTGGACGGAGGCCAGACAAGGCCCAGTTTCACAAGGTTAGCTGCTTTGGTACCCCTTGGCTTTCTTTGATTATCCGCTTTCACCCCTGGAGAGGTTACTCCAGCAAATCACGGTAGGTGTGGTTTGCCGTTTAAAAGTCCCGCTAGATAGGCGTAGGGGTGGGTTACTCGGGGCTTCCTCCCGACGGTGGGAGAAGTCTTCGCAATTTGTTGGACAGCTACCTCCCGCTCAAGCTGGGCTGCTCCCGGCCAAGAAGGTGCTGTTCCCTCCACGTTCTGCTTTTGTCATTGGATGCATGAGACTAAGGGCCAATCCCCAACAGCGGACGGACAATCAAAGCACCAGCGAACAATACATCGAACCGAACCCCGAAGGCCTTGAATGCAGGTTTCTAGAAGTTCCTACACTGGTGGTTTGACCACGCCTACGCGTTGGATCTACACCCCACTACCTTATCGGACAGACTTTTGAGTCGAGGGCTCCGATTAGGATTCCCAAAGGAAACCCCACAAATTCCCGCTGCTTTGCGAGTCAGACGTTTGAATGAAATACTCCGGTCAGGGTTCCCCAGGAAAATCCCCTTCTAGGGTGTGGACTACCGCACAGTAAGCCGTGCCCTTAAGTCTTAAGCACCCGTTTGGAAAAAAACCTCTCACATCTATCCAGTTCTTCCTGTCCCAAAACTTGGGTAATACCTTTCTGCGTCATCCGTGGAGTAGCACTCCGGCGTTGTATTAAACCGAACGATAACAAAGCCGCCTACCACCAAAGTCAAGTGGCAGTGTCGGGGCTCGAACCGCGGACCATAGGGGCCAAAACACGCCTGTGACAGCGACTGAAACAGTGCGCCACCACTACCCCACCGGTTTATCCTCATTTGCAAACAACAGTCGCTAGATAATCTCTTGGAAATAACAAGACAGTAACCAAAAGCTCACGAAAGTACATGTTTAGTGGTTGTAAAAGTTGAAAATGAATCCCTGATTAGTGTCTTCCATGTCTGTTATTGTCACTATCATGGATTTTGCTCTTGTAGGATAACTTCCCCGTCTTGGACGGTAGCCGCGAGCCTTCCGTGCCAAGTAATTGCATTTTTTCCAAATAATAGAACTGGAACCGTGTTCTCTTTCTTCTGAATCATAACGTGTACCTCTTGAAGTACTGAATCGATAAGGTTTTCTCATCTGTATATCCTCTGGATTTCACTTTTTCTTATATGGGCTTTGTCCCTTTTTACTTCATCACACTCGTGTAAGTGAATAAGTTAATAAAGACGCCCTTACCAGAGAAAAATTAAACCAAAGTTAATGACTTGTGGTTTAATTTTGTTACATTGCCGCTAATCTTCTGAGTTATACGTCTGACTTCTGATACTGTCCAATGCGCTGAACCATATATATATTATATATATATATATATATATTGAAAAAGAGAAGGCGAGCACTGAGTGATAGTATTTATTGTGACGTTTCGATCCAGACTAGGACTCGTCAAACGATAATACGTGTGAATGAATTGGTTCTGCTTGTGCCTCGCACTGTGGTTTGCGTCGTGCCTGTTTGTCCATCAATTCCGCTTTCATCATTGCTTGTACAATCGTTGCATAATGTTCATCGATTTTCACGTGTCGATTGAATGAGTTGGTCGAAAGCAGCTCTTCAAGGATCAGAC